GCCTACTTTTCGAGATTTATTTACTGAAATTTACATAAATAATTCTAGGCTGTCTCCGGTAGAGAAGTTGTACCATCTCACCGCGAAGACAAGTGGCGATCCGAAGGCCATAGTCGAGAAGTCCCCGCTCACAAACGATGGTTTCGAGTCGGCATGGTCGGCCCTCCGAAACCGTTATGAAAATAATCGGCTCCTGGTGACCAACCAGATAAATATTTTGCTCTTTTTGCCTCGCGTCGAGTCCGAGACCAGTCGAGCTTTAAAAGAGCTTCAAAGCACGATGCAAGGGGTCCTCACCGCCCTTGCTCACTCCAAGGTCTGCACCGACAACTGGGATAGCCTCCTCGTTACTATTTGTGCCTCCAAGTTGCCGAAGTTGACCCGGTCTTTGTGGGAAGCGTCCGTCACAGACAAGAAGGAGGTGCCTCCATGGACGGAAATCGATGCCTTCCTCACTCAGCGCTATTTGACGCTAGAGGCCATGGAGAGCGACCCGTCCACTTCCAAAGGCAATCCGACCCCACCATCGTCCAAAGGTTCCTTGAATCCGCAATCCTCCGGAAGCAACTCCAATCCGTTCCGGTCTCATGGTAGTCCCGTGCCAAGGAAGTTTCACTCCTTCCAGACACAAGTGAGTCCGAAGAGAAGAACGTGTGATCTCTGTTCCAAAGAGAACCATCCGATCCGACTGTGTCCGCACTTCCTACAAATGACTGTGGATGCACGAGCCAGCTGCATTAAAAAAAGGCAGCTGTGCTTGAACTGTTTCGCTAGAGGTCATCAGCTCCGTGAATGCCAAAGCGCCCACAGTTGCTTCACTTGTGGAGCCCGCCACCACCCGCTCCTGCATCGGGGGACTCCAGCTCCCAGCGAGCTGACTTCCAAAACAGCGGAGGATCCCGCTTCTTCCGTCGCTCCGCCCAACGTTCAGAACTATTTTGCTTCGGGAACAAGAGCGGTGCTTCTCGGTACGGCAATAATCAACATCTGCCACCGGGGGACAAATTTCCGTGCCCGCGCTCTGATCGACTCGGGCTACGAGGCGACGTTCATTACGGAACGTCTCTTTAATATCATCCAGTTGCCATTCCGCCTTATTCAGGCCCAGGTTTCAGGCCTAAATCAGACTGTAGCAGCTCAATCCAAGAAGCTCTGTGATTTGTCCATTCGCTCCCTGATGACGCCGAGCGTACAGTTAAACGCCACGGCCTACGTCCTGCCCGACATAGCCGGCAATCTCCCTTCATATCCGATCCCGCAGAGCGCGTTGCGAGACTTGCCGAACCTGCCTTTAGCAGACCCTAAATTTTATGAGAGCTCACACATAGACGTTCTGATCGGAGCCGACATCCTTCCGTCCATACTGTTAAGCGGCTCACAGACCGACATCTGTGGTTCCCTCCTCGGACAGCAAACCATCTTTGGATGGGTGCTTACCGGTCCAGTGCCAAGTGCTGTTCCAGACCAGATTGCATCTTTCTCCACCCAAATTTCCCACGTCCGCGATGCTCCATTGGACAAACTTCTCACAAAGTTTTGGGAGGTGGAGGATCTACCTATCAAGGTAGCAGGAGAGTCGGACTCCTATTGCGAAAGAAATTTTCTGCGAACCACGTCAAGAACGTCAAGTGGAAAGTACGTGGTAACACTGCCGTTTCGTGACCCCGATCATTGTGGATCAGGCCTGGGGCATTCAAGGTCCATTGCCCTAGCTCAGTTTCTCCGAAATGAGAATCGGCTAAAGAGAAACGTTCCATTTCAAGAACAGTATAACTCTGTGATCCAGGAATACTTAGATCTCGATCATATGACAGAGGTTCCGTCCACTAACGAGTCCGCCAACTATTATCTTCCGCACCATGCGGTAATCAAGCCGGAGAGCACTACCACGAAAGTCCGCGTGGTATTCAACGCGTCCAGCCCTTCTGCGAACGGCACGAGCTTAAATGATCTTCTTCATGCTGGTCCGGTCCTCCAATCCGATTTAACCCTCCAAATCCTGAAGTGGCGCTACTTCCGATACGTCTTCAACGCCGACATTACAAAGATGTACCGCCAAATTTGGGTACATCCAACGTGCACACCCTTCCAGCGAATATTATTTCGAAACCCGGAGGGTGAGATTCGGGATTATGAGCTGAAAACCGTGACCTTTGGTGTCAATTGCGCTCCGTTTCTAGCCATCCGGGTACTGCAACAGCTTGCCGACGACATCCAGTCGCGATTTCCAAAGGCAAGCCACATTGTACGGCATTTCATGTACGTCGACGACGTCCTAGCCGGGGCAGACTCCATCAAGGAGGCTCAGCTGGCTATCCACGAATTGCAGGCCGCCCTCAGCTCTGCAGGTTTCCCACTGCGCAAATGGACGTCCAACCAAAAGGAGATTTTGGACGAGCTTCCGAGTGACCACCTCCTGCACACCGATTTTTTGGAAATCGATGCCGAGAGCACGGCAAAGACCCTCGGAGTTCGCTGGAAGGCGGCGTCAGACTAGTTTTTCTTTGTTTCTCCCGTGTTCACGCTTGAGTTATCCTACACCAAGCGAGAAGTTCTCTCCCAAATTGCGAAGCTGTTTGACCCCGCGGAGTGGCTAGCCCCATTCATCGTCCGGTCCAAGATTTTTATGCAGGAGATCTGGTTTCAAGATTTGGGATGGGACGAACCTCTTCCAAGTTCGTTGTACCAACGCTGGCTGGACTTTCTGCAAAGTTACGCATCACTACCCGAGATCAAGATTCCAAGATGGGTATGTTACCAGCCATCGGTAAAGATTGAACATCACGGTTTCTGCGATGCCTCCGAAAAGGCGTACGGTGCAGCGCTCTACGTGCGCGTCGAGTGTGACCAGCATATCACGGTGCATCTACTGTCGGCGAAAACACGAGTCGCTCCCGTGAAAACCGTTTCGCTTCCTCGACTAGAGCTGTGCGGTGCAGTGCTCCTTTCCGAAATGGCGACGGCTATCCTGCCAAGCATGCCGACGGGAAGTCATCAATGCTACTACTGGACCGATTCTACTATTGTACTGGCCTGGTTGAGCAAGCCCGCTTGCCATTGGACTACCTTTGTGGCCAATCGAGTGACGAAAAATAGCTCAGACTACCGAAACCAGTCATTGGGCTCATGTTCGTTCCGAACATAACCCCGCTGACTTAGCCAGTCGAGGCGTAGCTTTACCAGAACTGGTGGGTAGCCAACTCTGGTGGCATGGACCAGCGTGGTTGCAATCTCCACGTGATCAATGGCCAGCCCAAGCCGCCGAAACTCCAGTTCAAACCCTAGAGCAGCGGGCCGTGAAGGTCCATCTCGTTTCCAGCCCACCCGAAGATTTCCTGGAGCGATTCTCCCAGCTTGAGAAGGCTCTTCGAGTGCGGGCATATGTTCTACGTTTTATTCAGTGTTGCCGGAAAGTACCACTCGCATGTAGGGAACACCTCACTAGTGGGGAAATTAACGAAGCGGAGCGAACTCTTATCCTAGAGGTTCAGCGCCGGTACTTCCCCCAAGAATCTCACTGCCTGAGTGGTAAACGTCCCGTGCCAAGTTCAAGCTCTATTTTGAATCTGAACCCCTTTCTAGACCGACAGGGGATCATGAGAGCCTGTGGCCGGATCACAGCTTCACAAGATCTGAAGTATGATGAGCGCCATCCAATCATCCTGTCCTATAGTTGCCACCTGTCTCGCCTGCTCGCTCACTTCACGCACAGGATCACTCTCCATGGCGGCAATCAACTGATGACGCGCCTCATTCGCTGCAAATATTGGATCCCGAGAATCCGGAACCTGATGAAGGGCGTGGTGAACTCCTGCAAGGTCTGCATCATCCACAAGAAGAAGCTACAGACCCAACTGATGGGTGGTCTCCCGACAGACCGAACTTCTTTCTCCAGACCGTTTACCCATACCGGTATTGACTATGCAGGTCCTTTCGACATAAGGAACTATACCGGGAGAGTGTGCCTGATCACCAAGGGTTATGTGTGCGTATTTGTATGTTTTGCCACGAAGGCCATTCACTTGGAGGCTACTTCCGACCTGACCACCGAGAAGTTTCTAGCAGCTTTCGCTCGCTTCGTCGCTAGACGAGGTTGTTCGCAGCGTATCCATTCCGACAATGGAAAAACTTTCGTGGGAGCAGCAACTGTACTTTCTCGGGACTTTCTAGAGGCGTTCCAGGATTCGGTGACTGAGGCATACAGCCATCAACGGGTTGCATGGCGTTTCATCCCGCCAGGAGCTCCACATATGGGGGGCCTTTGGGAAGCCGGCGTAGAGTTTTAAAACGCTCTTCTACAAGGCCACGTCCACCCGGAAATATACCTTTGAGGAGCTCTCGACGCTGCTCGCTAAGATTGAAGCATGCCTAAATTCCAGGCCACTCTCACCTATGTCCGAAAGTCCGACAGAGTTGCTGGCCCTCACTCCAGGGCACTTCCTTATCGGAGGACCGTTAATGGCGACCGCAGAGCCCGAAATTAAAGAAAACCTCCAGTCGATCATTAATCGGTGGCAGCATTTGAAGGCCCTCAACCAGCAGTTCTGCCAGAGGTGGAAGGATGAGTACCTCAAGGAACTCCACAAGCGCAACAAGTGGCAGACGGATATGCCCAATCTTCAGATCGGCGATATGGTTATCGTGAAAGAAGATAACCTGCCTTCTAACGACTGGCGACTCGGAAGAGTACAGTCCGTGTATCCCGGCGCCGATAACAGGGTTCGGGTGGTAGACATTCTTACTGCCCGCGGTGTGCTCAAACGCCCGGTCGCAAAAGTCGTTCTCCTTCCGGGGGAACTCCCTCGTCCCGTACAACAATAACGGAAGGCGTCCTGTGCCTAGCCCGTTTAGTAATGCCTCTCCGTGTCTACTATTCCATCCAAGTTTCTTTTCGCCTCCAAAAAACCCTCGTTTGTTCTTCCAACAGTACTTAGAGAAGTGCCTGTCACCTGTTCCTAGCACGTTACTAATGCTTCTCCGATTCTTCTTTTCCAAACCAGTTCATTTTGCATCCAGATCCTGATGGCTCCACAACCCCGTGTCAATCACACCTCAGGGAGCAGACGCTCCCGAGTACAAGCTACCTACCGCTGCCGAGTCTGCTCCGGAAGCCATCCACTCCGAGACTGCCGTAGCTTCCTCAAGCTGAGCGTGGCGAAGAGGCTCCGAGCCGTGCTGGTCAACAAATACTGCCGGAACTGCCTGGCTCATCAGCACTCTGGCAAGGATTGCCGAAGTGGTGGCCGGTGCAAGGTGTGCCACAAGGACCATCACACGCTGCTCCACATGCGACCGTCCCAGCGCCCAGCCCGCTCGGAGTCGCCAGCTCCGTCTCCAGCTCCGTCTCCAGCGCCGGTGTCCCGAGCCGATCGCCGCCCCCGTTCTCCGGAAAGACGCCCCAAGCCGGGGCCCTCCCGGCGGCCAGCCCGCTCAAAGTCGTCGGCCGCGACTCCAGGTCCGTCTCCAGCTCCGGTGTCCCGAGCCGATCGCCGCCAACGGGTTCCCGCAAGACGCCCAAAGACGTGGTCCTCTCAGCGCCCAGCCCGCTCGGAGTCGTCAGCCGTGACTCCAGGTCCGTCTCCAGCTCCAGTGTCCCGAGCCGATCGCCGACCCATCGTGGGTCATCCGGCTCCATCGGTCGATACGCTGCTCCAGCACCGAAGCACCAACTGCCTCCCGACAGCCCGAGTGGTCTTGGACACGGGAACGAAAACCCACGAGACAACGGCGCTCATCGACCCATGCACGCCTGTGAGCTGCATTGACGCTTCCTTGGCCGCCGACTTAAAGTTGCCCAGCACGCGCATCGGAGCGGAGAAGGTGGCCACAGCCATTATCCGCGCCAGGACCGGCGATGTCCAATTGGACGTGGTCCTCAAACTGGCGCCCCGCTTGTAACATATAACCTGCGAGGAGATGTTCGTTTAACTGAGTGGGGTACGCGTTTGCTTCCGGCTTTTCTCTGGTCGGCTGGGGGTGGGTTACGGGGAATTGGCCGACAGTTAAGGATCTCGCGTTCAAATAAATAGGACAAAAAAAAATCGCGTACTTTAGGATAGGGAATGGGGGAGGAAGACCACGGTACAGCAAAGAACTGAAAAGAAGGGGACGAAAAGATTTACGGACAGACTGGTACTGGTTTTAGGCGATGCTGGGCATTGGGCTGCATGTGCGAAATCGCACGGACGCCCTCCCTACCATGATCTCTTAGGTGCCAAGGTTACATAGAGATCCCTCCCAACGCCGTTCCGGCGTTAGACTGTGGCTTCAAGGTCGGCATGGGTCCAACAAAAAAAATAATATTAGTGCATGTTGCTTAACTGCTATTTATTCATAAAAATAAAAGAGAAATTGTTTGTACTTCATTATCTAACCAGTTGATATTTGCTTATGTTAATAGGGGTCTACTAATAATCTTAACGTCTAGTAACGTGCATAGTGAGGGTTTAAGTATAAATGGAGGCAGATAAATTCTATGTGTAAGTATATATATGGATATGTGTAGATATGGGTATATGAAATATAGGGTATATATGTAATTCGTAAATTAAGAGCATAAACAATAAAACTATTAACGGATAAAGTTGGAAAGGGAATGCAAAATTATGAGCAGCAAAAGTAGAATGATGCCAATTGTATCGGCAGAAAAATTCAAAGAAATTGCGGTTCTTGCGGTTCCGTTGAACCCGCTTTAAAGCATAGCTATGCTCGGCTCTATGGCACAAGAGCTTTCCTCAGTGCTATCGGGCTCTGCCCTTTACACGCTCTCTCGCTCGTACAAGCCACTTTCTTTGGCAAGACCAAGCTTCAGCGTTGATTAAAACTCACATGCAGTTATGTTGGTACCGTAATCCATCGCCGAAAGATCTTTCGCTGGGGGACTAAGGTTCCACCTGTGCTGCGAAAAAGAAACGAAAAGAACAAAAAGCACCAAAAAAAACGAGAGAGAGAGAGAGAGAGCGCTTAGGAGCTTTCGGGCCTAACCATAGGCTGCCGTTGGGGCCACTGCACTTTGAGGTTGCGTAAGGGATTTTTTTTTTTTGTGTTAATCTTCTTTTTTTTTCTATTTTATAAACTGTTTTATTAACATTTGCTAGCACATATTATGCCGTGCCCTTTCGAACCCTTTACAACATTTCACTTTTTCACAATATGATTTACTTTTGCCCTTCCTCGCCTCTCCATTTCGGATTACTTCCACTCACAAGCACCAAAAAAACAATATTGGTGGGTCTTAGGCCCTCACACTTGACACGATCGGCTAAGATATGATTTTGATGGGGGAATTAAACCCAACAGTTGGAATCCGCGATTTTCCGGTATACACACACCGCTTTGGCGAAAGTTGTACCCTCTCCGCGAGCGATCCGTGTGAAACTAGGTGCTGCTTGTTAAGCGGTTATGCCCTGCCGGGGCTTTCGTGGGAGGTTACGCACATATATGGCATATGTGAGGTTGTGTGCGTACGACACAACAGCTGCAGCGGTTAACAGCGCCAAATCTCAGGAAGCTTTTCTCGAGAAGTTCCAAGCTTCTAAATAAGTGATTCCCAAATAGGTAATTGCCAAATAGGTAATTGCAAAATAGGTCATTACCAAATAGGTGCCATTCTGCAGAAATACAAATGAAAATGAACGTAAGAAAATGCTAAGCCGAATGCCGCATATGTGGGAACTTTCGGTATTAGCTGGAACCAACAGGCCCGGACAATATTTACCCTGATTCGGTTTGGCACCTGCGATAATATCTGCGGTAAATTTTTGTGTCTGAACTCCACGGGTAATGGCTTCTTTTTTTTCCCGGGTCGGAGGGTATGAGCCACGCGTCTTCTCCAGTTGCGGGTCGTTAGCAGAAAGAAAGAACCCAGAACCGGAAACTACTGGGAGGCTCAGTGTCATTCTTCTCTCCTTTTTGCATCCTTGTCCCTTGACATTTGCTCCTAACAGCTGGTCTCTCGGCCCCCAGTGTTCCTTGATCGCCGCTTGGGGGCGTTTTAACGGCTTCGAGTACCCTTAACTTTCCCTGCTACCTATCTCTGCCGTTTGGGCCCTATCAGGTCTTTGCCTTCTCACCCTAGTTTGATAGAGATGCAGCCGCTAATATTTTAAAATATATGTATTTACCTAACTGCCTTTTCAAAGCTTGCCGTTCCCTTTCACAGTAGAACTGTTCCCAGGCAGTCAACACCAAGCTTTAATATATTACATATGTATATACGTATATATAAGCTTAAAGCTTGCCCTTCCCCTTCAAAACCGTACGGGTCTACTTTTGTTTTAAGTGCTGTTTGATCGGTGTCTACTTTTAGGGTGTACTAATATATATACTGTATTGGTATATAGCTACTCGACCAAACGACTTATTACACACCCCCCCCCGCCAAAATCACACTTAGGGGTTCAAGACTCCGAAGGGTGATCCTCGTTCGGAGAGGTAGCTATGTTCGTCACTGTTTAATGTCCTTGGCATGGTATTTTCCCACTAAATTTCCCTGGAGATCCTCCAGCTCATAGTAACTATGTCCTAGCCTTTTCCGTACTCTTGCTTTTACAAACGTCGGTGCGAGTTTAGCATTGAATCCCTTTGCAAAGTTGCTTTGTTGATGGTTTCGCCGAAAAACCTCCTGCCCAGTTTGAAATGATACCTCGCGACTTCGCAGATTATAGGAGTTTTCATTCCGCCGATGTTGTTTCTTCATGGTTTGTTGGGCCATTTTGCGAATCAGGTCGAACGAGTCTTCCCTATTAAATGCAAAGGACCGATCCTCCAATACTCCTATGTTGCGTAGCAACGGATAGGCAGTACCACTCGTGATCATATTCTGACCAAAGGCCACCCGATACGGACTGCTATTTATGGCGGCATGCACACTTGACCGCAATGCACAAGCTATCGCACTCATCTGCTCATCCCAGTTGCTTTGGTCGGGTTTAATGTACGCCTTTATTGCGGCAATAACCGATCTATTGACCCTTTCCGAAGCATTAGCTTGTGGGGCGTATACAGCGGTGTATGAATGTTTAATGCTGTATTTCTGCAATAGCTCAATAAACCGGTGCGACTTAAATTGCACTCCATTATCCGACACTATAACCTCCGGAACGCCAAAACAATGGAATAGCTCTTCCTCTATGAATGGAGTAATGGCCTCCGCCGTAAATTTCTTGACCGTTTTCAAAAACGGAAACTTCGAAAAATGATCTAAAACTACGAATACGCCTATGTTTCCGGACTTACTGCGAGGGTACGGCCCTAAAAAGTCCACATAGAGCTTCTGGAAGAACCTGTGTGATTCCCCTGACTTCCCCATTGGCGGTCTCAAAGTGTGGTTTGGATGCTTGCTACCTTTGCAAATGTCACAGCTGCCTATAAACTCTTTCACATCCGTCACGAGATTTGGCCAATAATAATAACGACGAATTCGCTCAAGAGTCTTGTTTATCCCACTATGAGCTGCTAATGGGTGTTCATGAGCCTGCTTTAGCACCTCCTGTACTAATCCTTTTGGGATCCACAATTTCCAACATAGATCGTCGGCAAATTGTTCTCCCGTGGCATGCTCAGCTCGCCGATAAATAAGGTTGTCGACTATCTTCACGTCAGGCAATCGCATTTGGTTAGCCCGAATTTTAGACATCATGTCTTGATAGTCAGCTGATTGGAATTGAGGGGATCGGAAATCAATAACGCTATCAAATTGAATAGTTGACAGATCTTCAGTGAAGACCCGAGACAGGGCATCCGGAACAATGTTCTGCGATCCCTTTCGATGGAAGATTTTAAAGGAGAAACCCTGAAGCTTCAGTGCCCATCTGGCTAACCTGGAGCTTAGGTCCGCTTGGGACATAAGCCACTTCAAGGACGCATGGTCTGTGATTATGGAAAACTCCTGTCCTTCTATGTATGGCCTAAACTTCTTTACACACATCACGGCTGCCAGACATTCTTTTTCCGATACGGAATAGTTACGCTGACATTGGTTCAGCTTCCGTGACATGAATGCAATGGGAACTTCGTTGCCAGCAGTATCCGTTTGCATGAGCACCCCTCCCGTTCCAGTATGACTGGCATCGCAGTGGATCGCAAACGGCACTTTAAAGTCGGGACTGTGCAAAACTGGAGCTTCGCACATTTTTTTGTTTTCAGCAACTCAAAGGCCTTCTGGGCCTCTTCGGTCCACTTGAACTTTAGCTTTTGCTTGAGCGTATCGGTTATTGGCGAGGCCAATCCTGCATAGTCCTTGATGAACTTATGATACCACCCTGTGAGACCTAAGAAACGCCGCACCTGCTTTAGCGACCGAGGGATAGGAAACTCTTTTATTGAATCCACTTTTTCAGGGTCCGTCCGAATTGTGCCCTGCCCAATGACATGTCCGAGGTATTTGACTTCTTTTAGGCAGAAATGTGATTTCTGGACATTTATTGTCAAACCCGCTTGCTGCAGACGGCCCGCTACTTTGGTGAGAACCTTCACGTGTTTCTCAAACGAATCGGAAAGGACTAACAGGTCGTCAAGGTACACAAATACCTCATTCCGCAGCGCAGAAGGAATAACCTTATCCATAAGCTTGCACATTGTTTGTGGTGCATTAGATAGGCCAAACGGCATGACGGTGAAGTGATAAAGAGGTCGTCCCGGCACAGTAAATGCAGTTTTATCCCGTGACCTTTCTTCTAAAGGGATCTGCCAATACGCGTCCTTCAAATCAATGCTTGATATGAATTCGGCTCGTGGAAGCCGACTAAGAATCCCGTCAATAAGAGGCATTGGGTAGGCGTTTTTAGTCGTCACTTCATTAAGCTTTCTACTATCGATACATAGCCGAACCTTGCCAGGTTTTCGTACCATAACGACTGGCGAGGACCAAGGACTATTCGACTCTTCTATTACCCCCAGAGACAACATTCTATCAAGTTCGGTATACATGAGTTGCTCGACCGCTGGCGAGACGGCATAGTGTCTCTGCTTGATGGGTTTAGCATCTCCCACATCGATATCATGCTGTAACAAGGTCGTTTTCCCTAGCCCTCTCTCCGCAAATGAAGGAAACAACTTTATCGTCTCGACTAACTGGACCTTCTGCTGTACTGACAGAGGCAACTGGTTCGGATCATCCAGCATCACGCCTGAGATGGTCGCACCAAGGGTTTTGTTAGAAAGAAAGGCCGGCAGCAAGTTAAACTTCGTCCAGAAATCGATCCCTAAATACAAATCTTGCGACAAAGATGGAACAATCCACAAGCTAACTGCCTGGGACTTTCCCCTAAACCGAATAGTGGTATTAAGTCGTCCAATAATTGGTTG